AACTCTCCGTTAACTTTTCTGTTAGTAATGCTGACTAAGCATGACCATAATGAGTTGGCTTCCCTCGTGGCAGTCAGAATACTATCATTTACTATTTTTAATAAAAAAAATTAATAATCAAAACAAACAAAAAAGATCCCACCCCAATTGCAGCGAAACCTCCACCCCCTCTCTTCTTCCTATTTTAATAAAAAAAAATTAATAAAAACAACAAACAAACAAACATAAACAAAAAAACAAAAAAGGATCCCCCAATTGCAGCGAACCCTCCACCCCAACTCTTCTTCCTTCGCTGTGGAATTTAATCCTCTCGCTCATCCCGCTTGGAACTCCCTCCGCCGCCGCCACTACCAGCGCATCCCTTTCTCCTCTGCTTCTCCTCGGCGCAGCGCCGTCCTATGCTCCACACTCAAGTCCCCCCCCCCTCGCTCAGCGTCGCCGATTCCGCTTCCAGAGGCTCTGCCGATCGATGAGTCAAGTTGCCGGCGTGCTGGGGTGCCAGTGGGGTGACGAAGGTAAAGGCAAGCTCGTCGACATCTTGGCTCAGCATTTCGACGTAGTCGCCCGCTGCCAGGTTTAATCGATGCTATTTTCTTCGCGTTTTCTCATCGATTTGGCCGCCGTTGTCGTTGCTGGGGCAAATGGGGAAACCCCTCGTCGCCGTTGTCGGAATCGAAAGCCCAATTAGAGAAGGTTGTCGGCTCCTCTTCATCTTCCTCCAATCCTCCTACACCAGCACCGGCGTCTGCATCATTCCAAGCAATCTCACGATCTATGCTCCCTTCCAACGCCCAACCCATCATCGAACTCGATTCCCCAAAACCCATCTTTTGATTTTTTGTTCTTCCGATTCATAGATCTGGATTTCCAGTTTTGAGGGCGGGCGATGGTGTCGATGTCCTCCTTAGTTTCAATGGCGGGCTTGGGTGGTGGCAGGCGAGGGCGACGACGTGTGGGGTTGGATGTTGGGGTTGGTTTAATGGAAATAGGTTTTCTGTTGTGGAGGTGGATGCAGAGGCGGAGAATAGAGGAAGAAGACGCGATGGAGGTGCAGAGCTACTGGACATTTAAATTTCTAATTATTTTCTTTAGTGATATAAGAGATTTTTTTTCATTTCTGAGTGGACGCTGACATGGATGCATACGTGGATTTCCGTTACGAAATAAGTAACGGTGACAGAACAAATGCCCAGACTTTGATAAACTACAATAAGTTTGGATAATAAATAGAATTTTGATAGGTTTGGGTAAAATAAAAGAATTTTGAAAAGATTTGGGTAAAAAATAGACATTGCCCTAAAATTTAAATTAGGCTAAGTACGAAATAAACTTACTTGACACCGTAGGGGAGATTTTGCAGAAAGTTTAGCTCATCATCGTTTCTCCGGTATGGACGTGGGTCGAGAGGTGCGAACATTGGAAGATGCTCCCATACCCACAGTTGTAGGATGAACATCGCATCACCAGCTTGCTTTGCCCCAACTTTCGAGCAAGTACACAGCTCCCGGTATACGCTCGCTAGCACGGCCGATCCCCAACTCTTCTCTCCAATTGCATCCCAGTCACCAGTGAGCAATGCCAACCATATGCCTTGAATCCACCGGTTGGACTTGTCGGGGAACAAAAATCCACCCACCAAACCGATGAGGTAGATGCGGGCCTAACGCTCGACTTGTTCTTCTGGTGTCTCGTCATTGATTTCCACCTCTTGCTGGATGTGAGATACCAGCCACGAGACCGACACTTGGCCCGCATTCAACGGTGGATGCCCCCGTCCTTGAATTGGTGTGGTGGTCGGCATGTCGAAGCCCAAACGATCACGTATGAGCGGCCCCCAACCTCCTTCGGGTTTGGTCGTGGAACCAATGATGGCATCTCCAGAAATAGGAAGCCCGGTGAGGATCGCCACGTCTTTGAGGGTGATCGTCATTTCCTCCTCCGGAAGGTGGAATGTATGGGTTTCGGGACGCCATCGTTCCGTCATTGCCGTAAGCAGATCGTTGTCGATTTCGATCCGCAAGAAATGGCGCAACATTCCCAAACCGGTCCTCGCTATATAGGGTTCCAACCTTGGATGCCAAGCGGGCAAGTTATTGGTCCCTTTATGAACCACGGGAACAAGAGATTCCTAAAAAAAATAGGAAAAACATCAATTTATTAGATTAAATAAAGCAAAATAAAACATTAGAAAATAATAAAATAAAGCAAGAATACTCATCAAATTACCGGATTGTTATCCCAAATAGCACGGGAGCGATGAGCTTCTTGATCGGTTAAGAGACTCGCATCCCTTGGGCCATAATGGATATACAATCGAGGATCGTATATCTCGGCACCCATCTATAAAAAAGTAATGAAATCAGAGATTGTTTTGATAAAAAAAACACAAAATCAAATTGTTTCGATTAAAAAAAATCATAAACCAAAAACCTACACGAAGAGCCTCTTCGTCTATTTTTTGGCGGAAGCCGGGCAGAGGTTCGACGGGTTTAGGTTTGTAAGGGACGGGAACTTAGCGGGACGGGGGCTTTAGGGTCAAACTCTAGTAATTCTTTCTGATGTGGAAGATCGGACTTAGCCGCAACCACAGAGCATACTTAGAACGAGACTAGAGCGGATAAATTGAGGGAGAAAGAAGTGAAATGATTGTGGTGTGAGTTGAAAGTGAAGGGGGAAGGGTTATTTATAGTTGGGGGAATGGGGGAAGGGATCTGTCGAGAATTTAATTCTCCCAGTGTTCACCGCGTCCGTCAGAAATGGTGAAGGCACCGCGTTTCTCGAGGACGGTGAACGTGCACGGATCGAGCGACGTGGCTCAGCGTGAGGCGTCGGATCTGGAAAGAAAACCACGATCCGCGCCTCACCGCATCCAACGGCCACGGTGAACGCCCCAGCGACACTGATCGCTGACGCAAACAAACATGGGGTATTCACCGTGTTTGTTTAACGCGGTGAATACCCCGCGTTGGTACACGTCAGCGATCCGCGTCTATTCACCGTGGATCACTAAAACGGTTTTTTGTTCACCGTTTTTGATTAAAACGGTGATGCATTCACCGTGTCTATTTAAAACGGTGATGTCTTCACCGTTTTAAACTAAGACGGTGAATACGTCACCGTTTTTTTTAAAACGGTGAAATATTTACCGTCCTTGACAAACGCGGTGATATTATTCACTGCGTTTGCCAAAAACGGTGATGCTCAAACATGTGTACTTTTGGAAAATTTTTTATAACTTATGTATTTTGGGAATTTTTTTTAACAACTAGTGTACTTTGGGATTTTTTCCGTGATTGATGTGGGTGAATTGCGTATTGATAAATCTCCCACCCGCACTTATGTGGGTGGGTGGAGGTTGATTGCGGGTCACCCGAATGACCCGCATTCTATTTTCACATGAAAATGTTTGTTTGACTACTATTATTGGTTATTGTGTTGTGTAATATCCATTAGATTTTGGATATTGGAATGTAAATTATTGTTAATATCCATTAAATATTAGGATGAAAACTTTAAATTATTAATTTTATCAAAATTACAAAATGCGTAAGTTTACTCTACACAATTGGTTGATAGAGTAGTATATTTTTTTTTATACAAATACTACGTGGATTTGCTTGAGACAAAGTGAGAAGTGTTTAAATTGATACAATCTTACTAATTTACTATGAACTTATTATAAATGTTAGTCAACATTCTTAATGGCTAGTTGGAGAATTGCTTTTGCGGGTTAACCCATGATCCAACTGCACTCATCCGTCACCCACCCAACCCGACCCGTAAAAAAATGTGGGTGGAGTACGGGTCACAATTATTCCAACTCACTAGTAAATGGGTGGGTCAATTTAAAATGAAAATTCATCCAACCCGCCCATTGCCCACCACTACCTAAAACTCAAAAGTGAAAAGACAGATAGGGGAAGGCAAAGTTGATTGGCGTAAAGTTTTGTAGGGTAATTGAACCTCGTACCATCAAAGTTTTAGGTATGTTGAATGTTGACCACCTAAGACTTCTGTTTTTTTTTTTGCACAAAATGTAGTGCTTGCGGGCATTTCAATCGTTGACCATAAACAAATCGGTGAATCTCAACTCAAATAAGATCAAAGTCATCTAATGATTCGGTAAAGGATAAGGTGTAGCTAGAATATGGTTACCAAGCGGCAAACCATGGTCTATCGAAGCGAGATAGTCTGCAACCACATTCCCCTTCCTGAAGACGTAAACCAGTTTGAACGTGCCACTCCTGACCAAGAAGTTGATGGGCCGCGCAGATCAAGACAAAATGAGGGGGTCGTTGCTCAGCATCCCGAATCAGCTCGAGAGCAACTTGTGAATCTGTCTGAACAACCCCTTGTTGATACCATACTACCCAAGTCAGTTGCGGATCATGCACAACACCTGCTAATTCAGCTCTTGTAATTGAGACATTACCCAAGTTCATCGAGTAAGCATGTAGGAGGTGACTGTCATCCTCCCTATTAGCTCCTCCTAATGTTGCTTGCCCCTCATCACTGACCTGTTCGAGTTTAGCACCACCCAACCATGGGAAAGGAGGTACCCACTTTATCATCTATACCGGAGAAATGTTTTGTATCATTTGAAATACAAAATCTAAAGGATAATGACTATTTATTAGCCAAATTTTTTTTGGATTTTTTTTATTAGCCAAACCTATCGAAATACTAAGAATTAACCAAATGTTAACTTTCAGTTAGCAATTTTGTTAGTAATATTGACTTGCCAACATGATACTGACCTGGAAGAGACATATGAAGGCCAACTTTCCAAAAGTTTAGTATTTTAACTAAGAAAAAGAGTTAAAAAGTATTAACGATAACGTAAAATAACTAATATTTTGATGCATTACAAAAAATTTGATTAAATAATAACATTTTAATAGATTTAGATAATATAAAAGAATTAAAAAAATTTTGAATAAAAAAATAGAGACAAAATATAAAAAAGGTAAAAATAAAAATGTACCGCTCTCTCCCTGATTGGGCTCTTTCTTACCCAAGTCTTCCCCGTTTCTCATCAAAACACCCGCTCTTGCTCTTTCCCTCTTCACTCTCATTCTCTCTCCCTCTCTGCGTATTTCTCCGGACTCCGATCCCCAACTTGATCTCCCCTCCGATCTCCAAAACCCTAACATTTCCCCCCGGTTTCTTCCCATTTCATCCCTCTCCTCTCGCCTTCCTCCCCATGCAAAACCCTAATCGGACTCCCTTCAGATCATCTGATCTCATCTATTGACGCAATTCATCTCCTTTCCGGCCGACTAGATCCACTCGCCTTTGTTCCCCTCCGGTACCATCCCTAACCTTACGCTCTGCTCGTTTCAGCTTCGCTCATTTCGGTTGAATTCAGAATTCGATTGCTCTGCTTGCGTTATGTTTGTGTTTCTTTAATTTTTAGTTGAATTGGAATTCTATGGTGTTTTGATCGTTTCCCCCCCGGTTTCTTGTTCTGGTTTTTGAATTGTTCTGCCGATGTGTGGAATATTGGTTTTGAAGACTCGATTCTGCTCGCTTGGGAATTGTGGAAGTGAGGAATTGATATAGCCGCATTTGATTGTTGGGTGGTGGCAGGAAAGGGGGAATTCTGGGTGTTCTATCTGTGAAGTTTAGATTGATTGATCAGTAAGAAGACATGGCAGCTCCTGTGCCTCCAGGGGCACCTAGACAACAACCCCCTACTGGACCACCGCCGAATTTTCAGCAGAATCCAAATGCCTTAGCTGACAATTTTCAGAACATGAACCTTAATCGCCCGCCCAGTTCAAATACCAGGCCACCTCCCTTCGGTCAGCCACCACCATTCTCATCCTCTTCGCCTGCATCACCAATGACGAGACCTGGTCCATTCCCTTCTGGTGCAACTCCTAGGCCTGCCTCAGGATCTCCATCACCCACATTGCCACCAAATATGGCCCCTGGTAGACCCAGCGGCCCACCATTTGGCCAGCCTCCTCCATTTGGTGCCAGACCTCCTCCTCCGGGGGCATTCCCTTCTTCAATGCCTCCCTCTGCTGGGTCTCCTCCTTATGGAGCACCACCGCCGGGTACTCGTCCATCTCCAGTTGCTTCTTCATCTCCCGTGAACATGGGGCCTTCTGGTGCTCCAAGTGGTTTTATGAGTAATGGGCCACCTGCACCCGCTTTCCAGGCTGGACAACGGTTTGCTCCTCCTGGTAGTTCTCAGCATCAACCTCCCATGGGTGCTCCTCCAGCTATGGGGCCACCGGCACGTGGCCCTCCTCAAGCAGGGGCTATGCGTCCTTTCATGGGGAGTCCTGGAGCTGGTGCTTCGCAGGTACTTCCACCATCAGGAATGGGTCAAGCTGCACCTGCCTTTGGGGGACCACCTCAAGCGATGTTGGGATCTGTAGCTTCTCCTTATGCACCACAGATGCCTTCACAACCAGTGAGTATTTAAGCATATATTCTTTTGTGAAATATAGTGTTATTATACTACACTGCTGGAAGTTTGTTTTTGTGGTTTAGCTACTGATTATAGATGCAGATTGTTTGGCAATAGTAAAGAGTTTGTAAAATTGTTATTATTCCTTTTTTTTTCCTTCTTAAATGGCAAGCAGATGAAAGCTGGATTATTTCTGGTGAAACAAATGCTCCATCTATCAATGACATTTTTTCATATCATTCACCAGCATGTTTCTGAACCTGACGTATTAATGATAGAATGGGAATGACAATAGTATAGTAGTGTGATTGCCTCATGATTATAAATGATCAGTGTTGTCTTTTTATTAGCATGTAATTCTGTTTCCATAATACTGTCTTCACTTTTTGGTGCACAAGTATTTATGGATTCATGTGTTCTGAATCTTGACACAATTATATCATGGGTAATATAGGGGGTACCTCCAATGCCAGGGTCTATGCCACCACCTAGAATGTATGGAATGCCACCACCAATGCAGAATCAAATGACTGCTATCTCACCTGTTATTGGCCAAACTGGTGGTACACAGCCAGGGGCGTCAAAGATTGATCCCAATCAAATTCCAAGGCCAATCCCAAGTTCATCTGTCATCTTGCATGATACTCGTCAGGGCAATCAGGCCAACCCACCTCCGGTAGTTAATCGTAAATGACCTTGTCTTTTTCATTATATATATTCCTGTCTAGTTACAAACACCAGCATTTTTCATGGTTGTCTGATAATGTGCTTTCTACTTGAAAGCCGGCAACGAGCGATTACATAGTTCGGGACACAGGGAATTGTAGTCCACGCTACATGAGGTGCACCATTAATCAGGTTATTTTAAGCTTTTGATGTTTGCAGATGCTCTGCACTATTTGCAGTTAATTTCAGTGGAAGTAATTAAAGCACTTACGTAATCTACGACTTTAAATATGCAGATTCCGTGCACTGCTGATCTTTTGACGACATCTGGCATGCAGCTTTCTTTATTGGTCCAACCTTTAGCCCTTCCCCATCCATCTGAGGAGCCTATCCAGGTAATGCTTGTATTCTTCCTTTGGATGCCTCTGGGACGGAAATTTTCTTCTGTCCTGAAACAGGGGAAGTTTGTTAGGTTTATTTCTCAGTGCAATAGAGATCCTTGCTCCGAAGCGAGGATGAACATGTGAAGCCATTTTAACTGAGTCTCCAGAACAAACTGAAATGATTAATATGCAGTACCTTCTGGTATTTTTGCTTAAGATGTTTGAAAGATCAAAGATGGTGGGGATATACTTGTCTCCCCATTTTGATGAGTGCCTGTGACCTTCAACTTTGACTTCTATTATCCACCTTTGATGCGGTTTCATTTCTGAAAGGGAATTGCTGTTGTGTTGATTTACTGTTTGCTTTTCCCCCCCAAATAAATACTTCCGGTTGCAAGCCAGTGACCCAACTAAAGTTGCATTTATTCACATTTCCTGGTTATAGATTGTTGATTTTGGAGAAGGTGGTCCTGTTCGCTGTTCTCGTTGCAAAGGCTATATAAATCCTTTCATGAAGTTCATTGATCAGGGGAGGCGTTTCATCTGTAATTTGTGCGGTCAGTATGCATATAATCCTCTTTTCTTAGTTCAGCATATGGATTTTCTGGATGTTTTCAGCAACGTTCCTGCTAATGATTAGATAGAGGAAAAGTTATTTGGACATCCTTCACATTCCATCTTCCTTTCTTATTGACCCTTTTGGGTGTCTGGCGTGTGCCTTACCACTTTGTGACCTCCTGCTTTCATAGGTTTGCTTCTGTTTTAGTGGCGTTATGCCAGTTGTTAGGTCTGTTACTTGTGGGGCAAACTATTGCTTTGTTTACTTTTTTTTTTGTATATCTTTAGTGGAATAATGATTCATAGGAATAAAGTTGATCTTGAAAGTGTTCCTCTATTCATTGACATGGCACATTTTATTTTACTGACAAGCTGTGCCTTGCTCTGAAATTCCCTGTTTCATGGCAGGTTTCACTGATGAAACACCTCGGGACTATCATTGCAATTTAGGTCCTGATGGTAGGCGTAGAGATGCTGACGAAAGGCCTGAATTGTGTAGGGGGACAGTTGAATTTGTTGCGACAAAGGAATATATGGTCTCATTCTTTCTTTGCGGAATCTTTACTTCTTTTGGTTCTTGGTTTCTCTTTTATTTAGAGCTTGTATGTTGAAGAATTCACTTGTATGGTCTATTTTTCTTTTTCACTGGTTCTTGTATGCATGATTGATGGCTCTGTTTACTCTTGTTTCAGGTGCGTGAACCAATGCCAGCTGTTTATTTCTTCCTTATTGATGTGTCCATGAATGCCGTTCAAACTGGTGCAACTGCTGCAGCTTGCAGCTCAATTAACCAAGTTATTGGTGATCTTCCGGTGAGTACTGTATCCATTTGCAGGATTTGGTGGTGCCATCTTACTATGTCTCTCATACAGGATGCTTGTCTGAATGCTTACTGTAAATCCATACTCACTTATATTCTGATGCCGATTTTCTGGTCTGAGAAACACTTAGTTGATCTCTCAGCATGCACAGATTTTCTGAGATGCTATTGTACTTACTGAATGACCTCTTTCAGGAAGGGTCAAGGACAATGGTTGGGATTGCAACTTTTGATTCAACCATCCACTTCTACAACTTGAAACGTGCGTTACAGCAGGTGAATCAATATCCAATTTCTCAGCCTTTGAGGTTTTGTGTTGGTTAAATGTTGTATCTTTGAGGATGTACCGGGGATTACTGAATGCTGATTGGTCTCTTAAGATATGGTTGCTCTCTGCTTGAGAACTGACCTATCATTTGAACTTCTAGATCCCCTGTCTCTTGTTGCTAATTATTTACATTTTTCACTCCATCTGACTCGTGTGAGTTGTTCGTGCATTTTGATTGTGGAAGCTTTTGCATCCGGCTCAACTTTCAACAATTTTAGTACGCTACATGTTTTGGGAAGTATATTGATACTGATCTGATCCCTCTCAATTTTCTGTAGCCTCTAATGCTGATCGTTCCTGATGTACAAGATGTGTATACCCCTTTGCAAACTGATGTCATTGTCTCAGTCTCTGAGGTAAGTTGCAGATCATTTGGCCTTATAGCATAATCGGCCTAAACCTTGTTTTGTTTACAGGAAATAGGAATTACATATTACTACTTGTAGCTGTATATGGTGTATTATCAATTGTAATTAATCTCTCTCATCTTTCTCTTGGATTTAGTGCCGTCAACATTTGGAACTGTTATTGGAAAGTATTCCAACCATGTTTGAGAATACTAGAACATCCGAGTCAGCTTTTGGTGCAGCAATCAAGGTACATCATTTAGTTTATAACTAATATATCATGTGTATTCATTGTGCCTGAGAAAATATTCTCATCTTGAGTTCATTATGTTAAATGAATGTTAAACGTACTCGTGTTGGTTAGAAATTACATGGTTGTAATTTTGGCATGCATGTGTAAAGTAACCATCCTGAGAATGTTAAAATTTTGGCGTTTAGTTTGTGTTTGCTAAAATGGTAATTATAGCAACTAGTGATTGCAGTTGGGAACATACTGATGATAGAATTTCAAGAATGAATAGCTGGCAAGGCTGGCAAGCATGTGTTGTTTGATTGGTTTTGTTGATAACTTGATATTACGTATGCGGTCGTTAGACTTTGAAATGACATCCTCTTATAATCAGCTGTTTCCTAAAACATTATGTACTTTTCATTCAGGCAGCTTTCTTAGCAATGAAGAGTACTGGAGGAAAGCTTATGGTATTTCAATCAGGCAAGTATCCTAAACCTCTTTTTTCACCATCGTAAAGGGCACATTTATATTTGTTGCTGTCATGGTCTACCCTTTGTGAATATTAAATGCTTTCTAGTGGTCATGTGTTCCTATTAACTTTGACAATGCCTTCCCTGATCAATTTATTATGCCATCAGTTTTGCCATCCATTGGCCTTGGAGCACTTGCTGCAAGAGAGGCTGAGGGAAGAAGCAATGTCTCTGCCGGGGACAAGGTAATGATTCAACCTTTCCTTGCCTTGCTTTTACTGCTAGACATTTTGCAGTAGTTAAGGAGATGATGCATCTAATGTACGTAAGTGCAACCTTGTAAACTCGTTTCGAGATCAGTAAAGGGCCTTCATGTTATTCAATGATTTTGTTGTGCAAAATTATCGACTACCTTTTGTCCCTGTTTGAGAATGTAGTCTATTGTATCTAACATCCATCAGTTGAACTCTGTATTGTTGTGACCTTTATTTATTCCTGGGCAGCATTGCATGGAGAAGTGTTCTATATAGGGAAGTTTTTTTTCCTGGTGGATATTGGGTTGCTTAACCTATAAATTTTACCACAGTTATCAAAAGTCCTGCTCACTTAGACTAGGGTGCAATCGTGCTAGGTTCAGCCTCTAGGTGTGCAGCTCAAGAACGCTTTGTAAACATTATTGTAAAAGCAACTAATTGTTATTCGTCCCATGCTGTCACCTCAGTTTGGAAATTATTGGAGGTCTGCCTGCTACCATTCTGATTTATGTCTACTTTGCATCTTCTTGGGCAGGAGGCTCATAAATTACTTCAGCCTGCTGACAAAACTCTGAAGGACATGGCAGTTGAATTTGCAGAATATCAGGTTCTCTATTGTTTTCCCGTCTATCTAAATGGAAAAATCAAGATTTCTATAGTTTACAGGACTATGTCATCACCAGAGCTTGCTTATTAAGCTCCCTCTTTTGCTTTTTTCTTTTCCTGATTTCTTCAGGTTTGTGTTGATGTATTCATCACCACCAAGACATACGTGGACATTGCTTCTATATCTGTCATCCCTAAAGTTACTGGAGGGCAGGTACTTTCAGGATACTATTGCTGCTTGCAATTAACAGTTTGGATTTCATTTTAATGGCAGTGCTTTATTGTTGATAGCTATCATACTCAAAACACTAAACTGATGGCTTTTTGTTAAAATTATTGTCCTTTAGGAAGCTATCTTTCCTTGTGCACTTTTTGGCATGGTTAGGAGAAGGTTGTCCATTACATATTTGATGTCACCTAGAATGCATCTTTTTCACTTACTTTAGTTGGATGACAAAGTTAGAAAGTCTTGGTTTCATTCATTTTCTTTAGATCACCTAACCTTATACCACTCCTTCACCAAACATTTTGGAACGTGGACCCTGTGCGGATTTAGATTTCTTGCTAATTGGCCATATTATATCAAGGTTTAAGTCATAACTTCTTTCTTTCAGGTTTATTATTATCATCCATTTTCAGTAGTTTCCGATTCCGTAAAGCTTTGTAATGATCTTAGATGGAACGTCTCAAGGCCTCAGGGATTTGAGGCAGTTATGCGAGTGAGGTGCAGCCAGGTACTTCTTTGAAAAGGGATATTTGGAATCAATTCACTGTTATCCAAACTTAGCATTATGCTAATGGGCCGTTTTTTTTTCTTGGTATTTTTGTTATAGGGAATTCAAGTACAAGAATACCATGGAAACTTCTGCAAGCGAATTCCGACTGACGTTGACTTACCTGGGGTAAGAATAGCATTCCATGAGATGCTGTGTTACATACTGAAATTCAACTTCTGCATTGTAGATGTTTGTTGGACCTAAATTTCAATGGTATATAGCTGCATTTTATGTAGATTATGTGCTTCTTAGCTCTTTGTTGGACCTAAAGTACATTAGGTGTCATCTTAAAACAAGGAATATGACGATTAGGTTCCTTGATGTCCTAGTGGGATAATATCTAAAATTCTGGTTTCCTGTTTTCTGATGTCTGTAACAAGGGTGTTTAGACTTCCAGGAAAGAACTTTATAGTGATATGATGGGGAATGTGCTTTACATTCTCTGTTGTACTTTCTAATGGATGTATATATATTTGTTTGGGTTCTTCCCGACTTTCCTAACCCATAAGTAATTTCTGTCTTTTGCAGATTGATTGTGATAAAGCTATAATGGTGACTTTAAAACATGATGATAAGTTGCAAGATGGTGCAGAATGTGCTTTCCAGGTGTGCTCATCTCTTCATCTTCTCGAAATCCATTTCTTCCATATCTCTCGTGCATTATACTTTCACTTCATCTAAGCTTCTTTCTTCATTAGATGTATATATTCTTATGGCCACTACAGTAAGCCTGAAACTGCTCTGTTCAAATAATCAGAGGTTTATGTTGAATGCCTTAATATTAATCTACTGACTTAATCATCTGACCCAAATTGTCAGAGTTTTTGGTTTTGACATCATTGAGGTGCATTTTATTAATTCGTGATGCAGTGTGCACTCCTATACACTACTGTTTATGGCGAAAGAAGAATTCGTGTTACTACACTATCCTTGCCATGCACAAGCAACTTGAGCAACTTGTTCCGAATGGCTGACTTGGATACTCAATTTGTATGTTTCCTGAAGCAAGGTATTTTAAGCATACCACAGTTATCATTCTTTTATTGCTTTCAGATCTCCTGTTGGCCATCTCATTCTCATCGGGAATTAGCTTGTTTAAAGGTGTTCATTTTGTTGGTGATCTGAAATTATAATTGTACTGCATCTTTGCTTCTATAGTAACTGTCTCAATTGCTGTGCAAAGTTGATCTTACTCTTTACCTTGTTTTGGCAGCTGCACGTGAAATTCCCATCACCCCACCATTGCACGTCCGTGAACAAGTTACGAACTTCTGTATAAACATTCTACTTTCATATCGGAAATTTTGTGCGACAGTGTCATCTTCAGGGCAACTTATTCTTCCAGAAGCACTCAAACTGCTGCCTCTATATACTCTTGGTACTTTTCTCTTTGTTTCATGTCTCATTAATGTGTCAATACCATACGTGTCCATTGTACTTGACATTTGTACCTAGTTCCAGGGGTGGAAAAATGGTTCCTTGGTTAATCAAAAAAGAAATATAATAAAATTTGTCGAAGCTGGTAGGGCCTTTCACCCATTGATTGAATTTACTAGAAGTTGCTAAATTATTTTGTTGAAACATAATAAAATTACTCGACTCGTTCCGCCCATGAAAAATCTTTGTTAATTGTCTATTCTTATTTTTAACCACTCTTTTACATAATTTGGTTAGTTTTTTGCTTTCACTAAAGTATCTTATATAATGTTCGGTTGAAATTTTGGTCACGAAAACCAAAACCAAAAGATTGTTTTTTGGCGTTGGTTAACCAAGTCCGAAACCAATGTAACCCCTGGCCATAGCAGCTATGAATGCATCTTAAGAAGTCGACCAAATAAATTTGGATCATTCATCAAAGGGAAAATAGTATTCATAAAAAAAAAATTGAATGAATAAGAGAAGATACTTCACTTTTCTGAACCTTTCTGTAATTGTTAGTTACGTAGAGCACATATATTTTGCTTGTTTCTACGTGTGTTGTTTTCTTAGAATACATTTGCTGCTCCTTCACACAGCCTTAATCAAGAGTGCTGGTCTGAGAATCGAAGGGAAGATAGATGATCGCTCTTTCTGGATCAATTATGTATCCTCAGTTTCTACTCCTTCAGCAATTCCACTGGTTTACCCAAGGATGATTGCTGTTCATGACCTTGATACACAGGCATGTTATGTCTTTATCCACCCTTGGTTCCCTTGTAAAAAATCTGTTTAAATTTCAAAATCTAACGCCTCTTTTGATGTTGACAGGATGGGAATGGTTCTATTGTCCCTGCTCCACTTCCGCTATCTAGTGAACATGTCAACGATGAAGGAATTTATCTACTGGAGAATGGGCAAGATTGCTTAATATATGCCGGGAACTCGGTCAACCCTGACATTATGCAGCAATTGCTTGGTGTTCCCTCAGCTGATCAGGTTATTTTAATTTCCATTCAGTCATTTTTGTCTGGAGTTAGAACTTCAGTCCAAAGTGCATTCCGCCCAATTCAGTCCAGTCTGGTTTGGGTTCAATTCACCTTTTTTCTGGCTTAAGAGGATCCTCCATAGAATTGAAATGAGTGTGTCTTGAATTTGAGAGTCAATACAGAATCAAATTGTAGTTCTCGTGTCCAATTCAATCCAAGCGCCGGTTCTGTCCAGTGCGGATTGAATTATTGCACACCCTGAATTCTTTACCTCTGATATATGTGTCTTCAAACTGATGTGATTGCTTAGTTAATGGTTACATGACTCTTTTCTTGGACCGAACAGGGAGGTGCCGAGTTCACCTTGCAGCAATATGACAATCCATTGTCAAAGAAGTTAAACGAGGTGGTAAATGAGATACGCCGACAGAGATGTTCTTTCCTCAGGTATTTCTCGTTAACCCCATCTTTCTTTAACGAGTTTATCACTTGCTTTCTGTTAGTAATAATTATGCCGTCGATGCTCTTGCAGGTTGAGGCTCTGCAGAAAGGGAGATCAATCAGGTGAGTTACTGAACTTAAGCACCCACTCTGGTCTCCTCAGTCCATGTTTTTGGTCCCTCATATTGATTGTTTAGCTAAAACTTCCTTGTCCTTCTTTTTGCGGCCCTTGTAGGAATGGCATTCTTTTCGTACCTGATCGAGGACAAAGTACCGACTGGTGGTCTCTCGTACGTGGAGTTCCTGGTGCATATCCATCGGCAGATCCAAATGAAAATGTCTTCCTAAAACCTAGGCTCTGCCTGGTTTTTTTTGTTCATGGTGTGCCGGCTAGCTTGAGCTTTTTTTTTTTTTGGGCATTTACGGACCGTTGTGAGTTTACTGGGTTGGAATCTTACCATTATTCTAGCTAGATATATTTACAGCAGCAGCAGCGGCAGTGAAGAATACGTCTGGTAGAGTAATAAGATTGCAGCAAAAGAGCTCCTTCTCCAATACCCAAGAAGTTCCATTTCACATGATTTCTTGCTTTACCTTTTTGCGTTCCTAGATACACTTATTTAGCATTCTAAGAACTACAGATAGCCAAACCGTCTTCCTTTGACTAAGATATCCGCCCCTGGAAAGTTAGGTACACCTATTTTGCAAATGTAAAACAAAAGACAGGAGGATGTACTTTAAATGTTTCGGATTTTCGATATTTTTTTTTCATCCTTACCAAAGTATACAGATACTGATTTTGGTTGAACGTTTCTTGGAAGCACAGCTTGTTGAAAACTGAGGGCTGTCAGTTTTTGAGCATGTTATATGTGAAGATATAGCGCAATCGAAGTACTTGACAGTAACAATTTTCTATTGAACTTCTTACTGTCCATGTTTATGCCCGACAATCACAAATACTGTTATCACTATCATGAACACGAACAAAATACTGTAAGCTTCCCCTGTGAATCATTCATTGGATTGCATCAAAAGTGTATCAAGCAAAAATAATTTCACCCTATTGCTTTTCCTTTGTAGGAGACTGTTTGGATCTCTTCTTAAACCGTTGCTTCTTCTCGGTCTCAGCAAAAACATCAGCGTACTTTTGGAGTACTCGTTCTTTTTCTTCTGGCATCCCTAGCATCTCATGCGCATTGGCTACTCTCTGGACTATAACCTTGTCATAGAGTTTCCTGTCAAATGCTTCCATGCCCTTGAAAAGCTTTAAGATGCACAATCATATTAGTCTTGAATTGAGTTGATTCCAAGCAGTGAATCTAAGGAGAAATATGAAATGTAGTAGCTAAAACAGGCCCATACTTCATCAACGGAAACGAAAACTAGCACCATACCTTAACAAGCCTATCTAGCATGTTGTTTCTGTAGTATACTGATATCATCATGCTACATAACTTCCAAGGCACGGAATGAAGATCTGTACCAACTTTCTTCACCCAAACAGAATGTGCTTCCTCCGCTCGGTGGTCTTTATCCAATGCACGTATCAGTTGCCCGTACGTACCCATTGTGTTTCCCTGACCCTTGCTCAAAATCCATTTAATCACCTAGATAAAAGTTAACATGGAATGAGGGAATGCATGAAACAAGTCCAACAAATTGAGCATTATCAGAATGATTCGAATTATTTTATTTCTAAAGCTTAACCTACACATAACAAACTCAAGAAATGTAAAACTTAAAAGAGTCGGGATGATTAGGGAAGACGCATAAATAATATACATGCAAGGGCTGTTCTAGAAATGATTTAGCATGTGATTTGATTCCGTAGCAGAAAGAAAAATGGTTTGCACCTGAACAATCCGATGCCATTGATGTTCCTTCTCAAGAGCCAGCAAAGCATGCTTAAGTGGACCAATGGGAAATTCCCGTTCCCATGCAACCCAAGCATCCAGAGCACCATAAATACCTTCTTTGTTATCCTTGAGATCCATGAGCTGCAGATATGAGAGATTCCTTAACTTGCCCATAAAGTTAACATCAACATACCAATGAAGAAAAATGGTTAAAAAGGATGAAGTGCAGTGACCTCAAATTAGATGTTTGAAGCAACATATACCGCAAGAAGCTAGCTTCTTTGAATTATGGTGAACGTAGCTAATGTCTTATCTACATATTAGGCTGTACTGCTACTGATGTTGTACTAACTTCAATGTTCTTTCCATTTTATTCATATGGCTGCTACTACTACTGGATCATGATGCTAGGCCAGTAGAAAAAGGTTCAGAAGCTCACAAGGCTTAAATTTTGTTTTCCTTCTAACCTAAGCTACCCGATGGTGAAGCAAAATGATTATCATGAAACGGGGAAGTGCATTATAGGTGTGGTACGCCAGCTGCTCAACTAACTACATACAGCACGGAAGCCTATATCATCAGAATACTAGATACGCTGGATTATCGAATTCAGCCATTTTTCAACTATGGTATTTTCATAGTCGAAAGATGCAAGGAAGCATAATCTTCATCTAGACAATTTCTTTTGGTTCAAAATCTAGGCAAGCGTAATAAAAAAAAAAAGGAAGCTTGGCAAAAATCTTCAAATGCTTACTGTGTTAATAAGAAAGCCAGTCTTCTCCTTTCTAGAAATATTCTTCCCTATTTTATCCTTCTGCACACTTGCAGCATTTTGGTCCAAATTTTGGAATGCAGCTTGATGACTGAATTGTGCCTGCAACGTTGTGAGAAGGTGGTCAACCAGGACCGCAACATATAGGTATAACCATAAGTAAAGGATCAATCGAGAAAAGTTCAAGAAGGGTTTTGTTATGGAATTCTTCTCAACTGCTCATTCAACAAGACTGAAATAGAAAATGACAATAACTATCTTCACATTCCTTAAACCAAAATGATTTGCCTGCCTCATGGCATCCAACAGACTTTCAAACACACATGAATTTCAATCAGGCGCCAAATAAATCCAAATGGAATGAATGAGAATCAACAAAATTATCCATAAAAAAAAGTGAGAATGACTTTCAATTCACTATGATACCTCTGAAGAAGACTGATCTTTTGCATCTTCCCTATCAGAGAATTGAGCCTGCGGCATTGAACCATAGCTAGAACTAAGGGTTTGTACTCCCGGTCGAACCCGAGTTAACCTTCTAACCTGTGAACCTTCATGAGTAAGACAACATGGATTTTGCCTATGGCACTTTGAGTTGTACAACAATAACAGGAGGTAAGAGGAAGGACTCACAATACAAGCCATCGCCGGTGATCTCCACATTGCCAATGAAGGAACCAGAGAGCAACTACTGCAAATACATGCTCCCACCTGGGGTAAAAATGAAAAAAAGATTCAGAGAAACGATGAAGTTCCGAGCTTATTCCATTACAACTCTAGCTATCTATGTTCAAGAAATTGTATATAAAGAAACCAGCTTTCAGTGCAATAGGCAAACACCACCAACTGCTCTAATAAACAGCTGCTCTCCCATAAACATTCTGTATGTAAAGTTCATACAAAATGACCACAACCATGTTGGGAAAACAACTGAAAATGCCGAAGAAAGGTGAGAGCTTTTACCTATGGAAGAACAGAGAGAGGCAGGACCCGGGTCGTTGAAATCAAAGCACCAGTTTTTGTCAAAAGAATTAAACCAAGGAAAGTATGCCAGAGGAAGTTGAGCTGCTTGGGAGCAAAGAGTTGGCCGGAAGTTAAAACCGGTGAAGAAGAAGAAGAGGGAGCGACAAACGGAAAGAGTGAAAGGCGGCGGCGAAGATGAGCTACTTGCTGAGACACAGAACCCAGAGCCTTCGTTATTAGTGAATGGGCCAAGGCCCAAGATACTTGGTGATATTTTCTATAAGAAAATTGAAATGAGGATTTTTTTTAATCAAAAGATAACTTGCATTACCAATAAAATAGATCAAACGTTACAATTTCATACAGAGCCAAGCGCAAAAATCAAAACATATCACACATCAGTCATCACTAGTAGACAATACAAGAGCTTTTCTTGCCACCATATGGGCAACCCTACTGTTTTGTCTTCCAACGAACTGCACTATCACCCCCCGGATACTCATGTCTGAGAGCATGCCTGGACCTCTCGATAAAGGGCTCCACCTCGAGCATTAGTCATGCACCGCGCATTGACCTTGTCAATAATCTCTTTAGCGTTCCCCTGTATCTGCACCAAACTGAGGCCCTTCGCAACACACCAATGATATGCTTCACGAAGAGATATCAACTCCACCATCTCCGGTTCGTAAACCCCTTCCAAGCGCCCAGGCTCAACCATCACTGATGCACCCGTCTTATTCCGTATGACCAATCCATAAGCCACATGGGACTCCCGACGCAAGGCACCATCAAAAGCATAGATAATACCCGTCACTGCACCTAACTGCAGCTCCACCACCTGTCCCCCTGACGAGCCATCCTCCCAGGAACAGCCTGCGGGAGAGTACCAAGCCACTCCAGAATCTGGTGTTGCATTTGCCACTGTAGCACCTGTAGATTAACTTGTTTGAAATCAAACACCACCCAATTCCAGGCCTTCCAAATCCGTCATAGCACCAACCTGATGCTCGCCTCCGGCTAGGATATATGCTCCAGAACCCAGCGCAAAAAATGGCAAGATCAGATGTATCCACTTCGGCAACCAGATCTTGAAGACCAGTCGTTGCCCATAAGGACTGGGCCACTGGACAATGAAGGAAGATGTGCTCCATTGTTTCCAATTTCGCCCAGCAAACCAGACAACGACCCAACACTTCCACCTCCTTCTCCAGTAAAGCCTTCGTCGTAGGCAAAATGCGACTCCTAATCTGCCAAAGAAAAAATCGCAGCTTAGGTTGAATCTTCAGCTTCCAGATATCCTTACAAAGCTTACGATCCATCCAACTAGTCTATTCTTTCCACTGTCCCAAAGTATGAATCCGTCCAAACGCCAGGTAGTATCCTGACTTGACAAGGTAAATACCCGACGGGTTATACTGCCACACTAGCCTATATGCAATTGCCAAACGAGGCAAATGAATAGCCGAAATTACCAGCACCCAATCAAGATGGAAGCAAGCATTCAAATAGTCTTGACACCAAGTACCCTCGTCCGGATTTATGAGCGCAACAACCTTCTTAGTCCCACCTATCGGAGCTGATGCAAGGAAAGGAGAGGCACCCTGATCCACTTTTGGAATTAAACCATCCGCACCAATATCTACTCGTTCCCCATCACCATAATCTCTTACGAATTAAGTTGTGGGGGGACATTTGTTTACACCAAAAACATTTTCCCCATTGAAATAATACTTGGGTGGTCATCCAGTACTTGGTCACCATGTGTCCAGTTTTAGGGTAACCATCCAACCTCAAAGTGGATGGTAGCATCCCACATAATGGTGACCATCCTACATTATGGATACCATTCAACTTCTAAATGGATGGTACCATCCCATATAATGGACACCGGACACCATCCAACCTCTTAGTGGATGGTGACCATTTTATATTATGGATATCATCCAACCTCTAAATGAATGATACTATCCCACATTGTGGACATAGTCCAATCTCTAAGTGGATGGTGACCATCCCACATCATAGATACCATCACAACCGTATGGTGGATGGTACCATCCCAAATATCATGGACACCATCCAAATGACTAATTGGAGGATGACTATCACATATCATGGATATCATCCAAAGTACTAGCTGGATGATACTATTCATGTTGAAATAGGATAACATGGTGACATGTCCAGAGACTTCTTGGCCACAACTGATTCACATAGAGGCTAAACGAAGCTACTTTTCGGGAGGAGAGAAGAGAGAGCAATTGGAGGACTCTAAGCAACAAAACTAGAAGCAACCTTTTGGAGCAGACATACAAACACAATCCAACACAAAGACAACTTGTCTCAATTGTCCCTTTTCCTTTTTCTCTGCAGTTTGCGGAGCTCTCCTCCATGAAGGATCCTCCATAGCAGTAGTTTTAATTGTAGTCGCGACGCTCTTAAAGAATTTTCATAGGAGTAGATTCCTCATACACCAAACACACTCGTTCGAACAATGTTTGAAGTGATACGAACCGTAGTAACAATCGTCTTCTTCATATAAGTCAGGCGCAACCCATCCACTCAGTTTCCCACCTAAAACAGAAATATTTAACCAAGCACCACAAGTATGATAGAACTTCCTCATCAAGTTCTTTGTCAATGACCGAATGAATTGGCTAGTGTTCTTCCTCAAGACATCCTACATATGTTCGAGCTTCGTATGTTTATTGTGCCAGATTCATCTAAGTTAGCACAGATCAATCCTCTCAAGTTCGTCAATGACCAAACGAATCAGATCGTCTTCCTCCCCAAAGGAGATCCTACTATGCCTGAGCTCGTTATGTTTGTGGTAGCCGATTCATCAGTGTTAACTCAAATCCATCTCCTTTCAGGCTATTCACATTTTACCATGGGTTGCAAGTATCGAGTGCACATCTTATCAGTGCTCTAAAGTTTAGCATGTGTCTCCTAAGTTTAGCATGTGTCTCCTAAGTTTAACTTGTGTGAATATACCGTGATGAACATCGGATTCAGGACTACTTCAATAACGATACATTCAACTTGATTTGCTCCGACAATTATCTATATAACAATTTCATAGGCAAAAATTGAAAGTCGGGTTGAACATCCGACTCTATGAACACACGACAAACTAATGTGAGCAACGGAAATCTTCTGCTTGCTACATGAACAACACAAGAGTACTTTCAAATGAAAAATCTGATCTTTTTCTTTGCTCTACACATTAGGTTTAGAGATCAATACAATTGAAGGGTTCCAATCAATTACATTGTCACTTGAACAGGTAATCAGATTGGGGAAAAGAAAAACAAAAGTAGTCAACAGTTTTCTGCACTTTGAAGCACCCAAATTCAACCCTCAGTCCAGCTGATTGCAGTAAGAAAAAGAAAGTTAAAAAAACTATCATTACCAACAATCAATACATGGTAAACTTGGCTTTGGTCCTTTCAAACACTTGTTCTGCAATAACAGCTCCATTCCCATCGGCCTGCTTGATCTCCAAATTAGCCTTCTGGTAAAAACCTGTACCTCTTAAAGCATCGGCAATGAAATCGTCAAACCCTATTGCTATTGCTGCTTCAGCTTTCGCCCCGTAGACCAACCTCTGCCATTTGCAAATACACAAGGTAAAAGAAAAGAACCGGCCATAAGATTCTAGTTAATACAATGGCAATGCTGAAGATAAGAGTTTTGCTTTCCCAAACGTACCTTGATTCTGGAGAGATGGATGGCACCGAAGCACATTGGGCACGGCTCGCAGGATGCATAGATTTCACAATCTGACAGTTCGATTCGGTTGAGCTTTTTACAAGCCTGTAAAAACATTAAAAAAAAGTCAGTTGATCGAGCTTCATTCGACAAGAATTGAATGGCTTCGAAATTGAGTTGAATGGGGTCTCAATTACCTCCCTAACAGCTGTGACCTCGGCATGAGCAGTTGGGTCGGTGTGTTTGAGAACCATGTTGTGACAGCTCACGACTACTTCGTCATTGCAAACAACAACTGCCCCAAACGGGCCTCCATCCCCACAATCAACACCTTTGTATGCTTCTTCAACAGCTCGAGTCAAGAACTTGTGGTCTCTGTCCTGCACAGCTGTTCAGAGAAATAAACCGAAAAGGATACACTCATTAGAACCTCCCCAACTGGACATTCAGCAGTCAAAGGAATGAGTCCATCAATTCAGGCTCCTCTTAGCAACAAAGAAATGATCTTTCTTTGTTAGCCATTGCTTTCTTATATTGACTTCCCTGTGAAAGCTGCAGAGCAGTTCAACACGAAACAGAAAAGCCACTGCAAAATTACCTTCTTGATGACCAGCAAATGCAGAAGCTACTGAGATAGCCCCATCTTGAGTCGGCAGCACTGTTTTTCCAATCACAGAAATTAAAAACGATAAGTGTTTGTGTTCATCCTTGAATTTGAAGAGCAGATTCTGATGACTCCGCATCAAGAGATGCTCAGTAGCTCAAACTGAACATGAGATACAAGAAAGATCGTAACAAAGCAAGATTGAAAAGGTATAAACACTCGGCATCTGTCCTTTGTAAGCACTAAATCTACTTCCTGGTTGCTCCATGTATGATTGAAAAAATGAGACTAAGTACTACTGTACTAAGCGTTTCAGTGTAAGAACTAATGAAGTCCCAGGATCGAAGAATTCCCCGATTCATAGCTCTGATGAGCAATTCAACCTAAAAATTGCGCAAGAGAGCTGTGTTTCTTCCAAACTATAAACATGATGGATGATGATCACCATCACGACCTGATTCAGCTCAGAATTCCTCGATGAAACGCATAGATTCAAGTAATCACAAGCCTAAAGTAGAAATGGATCTGTTAGGACTCCGACCGAAACCAAAGTAGCTATTCAGGATCTGTCCACACTTCCATACAAGTCTCCCAAATGAGAAGGCCATTAGTTACTAATCTCATAGAATCATGAACACCCACTCAAGAACAGATCATACTTCAACCCAGAACTCCATTAACCCAGAAAACACGCAAGGCATACAAACAGCTTAAGAATCGCAATCCGCCATCAATATCCAAGCCAAAACGAACAAAACCTCAAATAACCCACTATTAAAAGCAGCATTAGAAACCCAAATTCCGCCATAAATCCATTGACCGACCACAATCAGAACTCCCCAATAATTTCCAAAATCATCAGAAGCGGTACAAAGAAGCAGATCGCGAAAGTAGGGAACTTTTACCATTGCCATCCTCCATGATCGGAATCAGAGAATCAGAAAGGGAAGAGACGGTGGGGGTCTCTGGAAAGACAGAAGGAGGAGGAAGGAAAAAGAGTGTGCACGAGAGATTAGAGAGAGATAAAGGGAACAAACTAGTCCACGAATTTCACAAAGGATTTTATAGGCGTCTCGTCCACAAAGCGCCACTGTGGCGTTAAAAAGTATATATCAATGAAATGGCCAAAAGCTGAGAGGCCAAGGCGAGTAGCGTGTGAAGGCGGTGAAGTGGGGAGAAGAAAGTAATAAGGGAGCGAGAGATGAGAGAGAGTGACAGAGGGAGAAAAACTGAAAAGGGCGGATTTCGCGGGACAAATGGGAATCTTCGATCTTGTATTCTTGTTTGTTCGAGATTGCTTGCATGAATGAATGATTCATCAGTGGATTTTTACTCTTTGGGACCTATTTTGGGATTGATGTGCAAGCCACCTCCAATATTGTTCCATTTTGATATTTCGGTCCTTAATTACTTTTCTTGTTTTTACCTTTTTTTTGGGTTTTACTTATTAGGGAAGTAAGAATCTTTCAAGCATCTAATCTAATTGTTGTAGGTTTCAATTCTCAAACTGCTTAAAATAGAGTAAACAATATTAACTAATATTTGATTCACATTAGCCGAGACTTTTGCTATTCGATTTGAGGTTGAATTTAGCAGTGGAGCATGGTTTTGAAGGAAGGGAAGTGGAGACGGATTGCCTGTGGGTTGTCCAGCAGCTGAGAGGCGAGGAAATGATGATGATGGAGGAAGGACTCGCATGTGAGGAGCTGAAGTACGTGCTGCAGCTCTCGAGTTCTTTCTCGGTACATTCCCGAGCAGGTAGAGTGATCATACTGCACATATTCTGGCTCATACCCGTTGTGGTGGGAGGAAAATAAAGTATGGGCTTCTAGATCCCCTATCTTTCTAGTTAGACAACTCCTTTTTTATTCCAGTAATATTTCGAATTAATGAAATAATACAGGCTCTTTATAAAATAAAAAATGATTACAAGTGAAATTGATATTTGATTTTTACATGTCCGAGTTGATGGAATTGTAATTGATAGGTTTAGATTTTCAAATTTGGACTTCTAGAAACGGTTGAATCTAAAGTTGGAGTGACGAACAGCAAACGCTCCGAGTTTTTAGGTTTTCACGTATGCCATAAACAGCGAGTGCTAGGGTTTCTTCCGTCTCAGCATGTCGGCGGTGAACCCACCGCTGGCAGGGGGCCTTGTTGCTCCCAACTCGTCTTAAACCATTGCAGGACAATGTTGTCCTCCAACTGCATCATAGTCCCTGGATCCAAGGGGGTATCGCGAAGCAGAACAAAACTAAAAGAGAGCAAAACCTACCATGCAAAGTACCTTCGCTGTAACGGAGACGAACAAGATCTTGGAGGATGCTCCACAAACGGAGGAAAGGTGGCCAAGAGGAATTCAGGTTGCTTCAGCAAAGAATGATTATTATCTTGTCCGTTTTACAAGTGGTCTTGACTACGAAAAGGCTGTGATGGGGGCTATGGATGATGGGTGATCACTACCTCACGGTTCACACATGGGACATGGACTTTAATCCCTACCGTCATGATATCTCGTCCACGCTGGTGTGGGCTCGCCTCTTGGACATCCTAGTACAATATTTTCTCACGAAAGTGTCATGAAGATTGGGAGAAGCACTGGAAAATTGATTCGGGTTGACCAAGCTACTAGTACGACTGCAAGGCTCGATTATGCTAGTGTCTGTGTGGAAGTTGACCTCACCCGGCCACTGTTATCTCAATTCAAAATCAACAAGATCAAGTACTTCATCCAGTATGATGGTTTTGAAAATATCTGCCTCAAATGCGACACGGCAACACCTACTTTGAACGATCATGCTGTTTTTGTTCGATGCCAAAGAAAAAGGAACCGAAGAGTCCTTACAGGGAATGGATGATAGCAAAGCAAAAGCCTCACTCCAACCACAAAGGTAATATGCCAAAAGACAAGAAAAATGAACCCAAAGCAGCACCAGTGAAGAGAACAGAGCCGCAAGGCTCTCGCTAGTACCAAGCTCTTTTTCCTAATGATATAGTGGAAATGGAATCTAGTGAGAACAATGTGACCCTACATGAAGGAACAAAGACGCCACCCCTAGGACCCAAGACAGCCTGAAAAAAGGAGAAGCTAAGCGACAAACAGTACGCCAACGTATATGGGAGCTTAACGAAGTTAGCTACAAGGACTCCTAAGTCAGAGGTAGGAATGGCAATGGGGCAGGTCCGGGGCGGGTATCTCGATACCCATACCCGCCCCATGGCAGGTCGGGTCCAGGTCGGGTAATTTATCACGGGGCGCGGGTCGGGGCAGGTCGACCCATTGGGTATGTAATTTATGTGAAAAACATTAGAAATATTCGTTCTTTTCATTGAAAGACCAAGAAAGAAACCATAATATGATAAAATGTAGTTAAATTACTGAAGAAATTGAGGTTTTAACTTATTTACAACTTTATTAAAGTTAAAATATAATGTAATAAGAGAAAAATCTTAAGTAATTTGACTAAGATTATATGTAATTTAGGCAAGAACGGGTCCAGAATGGGGCGGGTCAGGGCAGGTCGGGTCGATGAGAGGTACCCATGCCCGCCCCGCCTCGCCTACGGGGCGGGTTTGACCCGCCCCAAAACAGGTCAAACAAGTCGGGTAAATCGGGTCAGGTCGAAATTGCCATCCCTAGTCAGAGGGTGGCGTAGTAGGTACCCCTACTAAGGCTCCATTACAGATCTTACAATGGGAAAAATATTATAAGAGCACTCAGAAAATGTTCCTATGGACCAGGTGATCACTCTGTCTAGTACTTTCAACCTATTAGCCAGTATTTTCGATAGGATTTTGTAAAGAACTTTGCGTAAGCTGATCGCGTGAAAATTCATATGGGTTTTAGGGTGTTTTTTCTTCGTTATAAGGGCTATCAGGTTATATTTTAGTTCAGGAGGGAAAGAACATGTCTCCAAATAACTATGTAGTTTGTTGGTTATGATCTCACCCACTATATCCCAATTTTTTTGAAAAAAATAAAGTTGACATTCCATCTGCTCCTATAACCTTATTTGCTCCGATTTTTGGAGAGCAGCTCATATTTCTTCTTTGACAAAGGATCTAAGTAGGACTGAATTCATCTCAGGGGTCACCTTGGGCTGAATTGCTTCCAGAATAGTACTGGAAGAGGTTTGAGAGCACCTTGGACTGAATTTGAGTATTACGAGTAGCAGAGGAGTATGATTATTACACAGTCCAAAGGTACCTAGGAGGCTAAATTGGAAAGGCAACAAGTGAATAAATTACACCTTTAGTCACTCAGTTTATAAAAAAATTCATGTTTGTCATCGGAAAAATTCCATTCCTTATTAGCCACTCACTAAAAATCTTGTTTCATGCTTGGTCATTGTCCATCCAATTCTATTAAGTCCATCCACGTAGCAGTCAACTGTAATTTTTTACAGTTAAATAGATGGCGCGACAATAAAAAAATAAAAAAGATTTATTGAAAAAGTTCCATCATCACCAACAGTTTTGGGAAAATGCTATGTTTTACATTTTTATGCTCGATTTGGCAAGTATGATGAAATGATCCCCAATTCGGTCCGATATTAACAAATGATTCAAGATTTCTACCGAAATTCTTGTAAAAAATTCCAACAATTACTTCTCCCATTTTCAAAAATAATTATCGTTTTCAAAAATTTAATTGCCATATTATTTATTTAAAGATGAAAAGTGGCAGACACAACACGTGAACTTAACGGAATTGAACGGACATGACTAACCATGAAACGAGATTTAAAATGAGCTAGTAGGGAGTAAAACGGTTACCGTAACAAATGTAAAAAAGAGTTTATAAATTTAGTAGCTAAGCGTATAAAATGAGGAGCTAGTAACGGAGTATAACGTTTACAGTAACAAATTTTAAAAGAATTTATAAATTGAGTAGCTAAGCGTGTAATTTATATATCAACGAATGAATGAAAGCTCAATAGGAAGCAAAATGTAACTCTCGATTTTTTTTTTTTTTAGAATGAGGATGGGAATGTGGATGTGTAAGGGGGATCGGTTCCTTCAACGAATCCTATCCTCTTTGGTTCGCTTACTTGGCGTCTCCATCCAAAGTACTCGGCTATATTTCTTTGACACAAGGAACTAATATGGTTTCCCCCTTAACTAGAACAAGTAATACAAGCCAAAGTAACGTACAACAAAGTAGATTGTGTCATTGTGACAAAGTAGATTGTGGGTGAATAGAGAGCTTGGAATACAAAACTTAAAAGGTTTAGAAATTCAACATTTGATGATTACACATACACACAGTTACACAAATTAATATAAAATAACATAGAGGTTGACATGCTTTTAGCGTGGATAATTTTTGGAATCAGATTCCAAGCCAACATATATATTATATATAGGGGTGTTCAAACGGTTTGGTTATCATGGTAACCGTTTTAATCGGTACTATTTGGATAATTTGGTTTGGTTAATTTGGATAATTGGTTTGGTTTGGTTAAAGTTTTTAGCTTGTTTGGTTTAGGTGGTTTGGTTTGGTTTCAGACACTCCT